AGGGACTATGTCTTACACATCTTATTATCCCCAGTGCCAGAAGACAGCTGACACAAAGAAATTTAATGATGAATAATGAAATCTACAACATCAACTGGAAACCAAAAATTAAAAATGGTTAGGAAGGGACTCAAAGTAAATAAGGTCCCAGGAAGCAGGACAGAAATGGAAATGAAAAAAGGCAAGTGGCTACAGGATTGCACTTGTTGGAAAGAGAGATGCAGGAATCCTTACTAATTTGCCATGGAATGTAAGCTTTTCCTTACACATATGCTCCATTTGTAAAATATCCATATGAATTCAGGATTAAAACAGCCTGTCACAGAGAACTCATCAACTGGACCTTTGAAATAAGTTTATAAAGCACAGATAGACACTTTTATTCTCCTGAGCCTAACCTACTAGGTTTTTATACATTACAATTAGAAAACTGGGAAATGAAATGATTGGGCAAAGCTTTAGGTGTTCTGCGTTCTCCCGAGTAAAAGAATAAAAGCTATGGGTCTTAACTTTTGTTGGTTTTATTTTGGTATGTTGTTTTTAGTGAAGAAAAAAAATATTTCACTTCACGTCTGGTACAGAAGCTTAGCTCTGAGTCATTTTAACTAAAGCTGACACCACAGAAAAAATTTACCTGAGCTCACCTTTGATTACTTCCTGTTACCTCTAACTTGGATAACTCCTCTAGCCACTTATAAAACAACAAAAAGAAACACACAAAGCATAATTAGTTACTCCACAAGAACAATGACCTAAAACACGTCTTCATAATTCTTAGTAATTCTACCTTCATGTGATGAAATAAAGATAAAATTCTTCATGCATGAATCACTTCTTTTAAGGAGTAGTAGACAATGGTGCCACACAAGTTTTATGCAGTACTTTCTCTATCATGTGGTGACAGCCAGTTCTTATCCAAACACACCCAATCTTAAAGTCTCGCTTTCAGCCTAAGTTGGGTGCAGATGTTTCAAAATGCTTCATGTTTGACACTGCCACAGGCATACTGAACCAGACAGTAAACAATTCTTAACTGAAATAGTGACCTGTTTTGAATATTTCCCACAGGTCCTGAAATGACAGTTATTTTCCAATATGAGGCGACAAAAGAAAGAGGCAAATAAAAGTTTTTCCAGATACTCGTGTTAGAAATGTGGCATCCTCCTGGTAGGAAAGGTACAATCAAAAGAACCTCAAGAGTTTAAGTGCTATTTATAGCATTTCAATGATGTCTGTATATGGGGGGTGTGTGTGTGTTCGAGCGCGAGCGTGCGCGTCCCCATCAATATAAGTACGTGACAATTTGGGTGGAAAGAACACTGTCGCACAAAGATATCCACCAATAGCATCTGAATAACACCTAAAAGGCAGGTTTGTGGATTAAAGTTATGAGTGGCTACCTCACCACACCCCCTTCAAAAAAAATACATGGGAGGTCACCCTGTATATTCTTTAGAAATAGATGTAAATATAGGACATGCTAAAAAATTTAGAAGAGAATAAAGAATCTTTAAAAGACTAAAAGGCCTCACAAATGTGTGTGCGGTTCTTACGCAGGGCCACGCTCGCCTTGCATGTACTGTGATCTGGGTGCAGGGTGGCGAAAGAGCACAAAGGTGTATTCTGCCAGCCCAAAGCACGTGACCGCTTTTCAAGTAAATGCCTTCATGGCACAGCCACCATTTTAATAAATTCAACAAGAGTGGTCAGAATCATATACAGGAACTCTAAAATAACAAAATGAACAAAATAAATATAGACGTTCAGGTTCCTAAGATCACACCTGGAAATACTATAAAAGAGAACAGCACGTAGGTGAGATTAGATACCAAACACAAAACATAAAATAAAGAAGTAAGATAAGGCAAACATTTCAGAATGTTAACTTAAACTAAACAAAAGGGTTGAAAATGTGAAAACGAAAATAAATGGTAGCACAGTAAAGTGGAAAAAACCAATGAACCAGGAGTTAAAGATCTGAGTTCTAAACCTAGTTCTGCAATTAAGTAGCTAAGAGACTTCTAGCAAATCATCTAAAATAAAAAGAATGACCAAGTAACTCTAAGATTCTTTAAAGATATCAAACACAAAACTAACATCCAGCCAATTTCTTCCTGTTCTTCCCTAGGAAGTTTCCTTGCATCATTCTGTGTATTTGTTGATAAGTGTGCTGCTCGTTGGGGGATAGATCATTACAGTATAACAGTTTTCTTCCAAAGTTGAGTTTCATTTTAATATTCTCACTCAATAGTGAAGGATCTTATAAAGAAGTATTATTTTAAATGACACAATGTTTTGAAGGCAGATTGTCAAAAAAATCTAAGAAAATAAAACTAAGGTAGCCATTTGAATATCAAGCTATAGCTTAAATTTCAATTACTCTTAATTGATAAAGGCATTTTTTTTTTACAATGTTCTTTAAAATACTACAAATTACTCAAGAGAAAAAAATACAGTGCAGACAAATGAATAATTGAAAGCCAATGTTTGCAGTGGGGGTAGGTAGGAGGCCCATGTCCCATCTCTGTTAGCAATAAAAATGATTAATCTCTTAATTATACTTCAAATGGAAAAACTAGTCTATATTCTCAAATCTTCAAGAAAGTAGCAAAACAGACATGAAATAGTTTTTGTTTGTTTTTTAAAAATAAACTCTTACAGCATGGAACACATAAACTGGAACAGTAAGTATTCCTAAATCAATACCAGTTACTGAGAATAGTCCAGTCAAAATTTCTGTAACTTGACTTCAAAAATTAAAAAAGCCTATTTAATTACCCCTGTAAGAATATACAGAAAAATGGCATACTGGTTATCTTTGCAGAGGGGAACTGGGTTAGGAATTGGCGAATAAAAGTTGTAAAAGAACTTTTCTCTAAATTCCTGTAAATACATTTTGATTTTAGAATATATAAATGTATTATTATCTATTAGATAATTTTTAAATTACTAACTGAATACAATACATAAAAATCTTCATCAAACTTAAATACTTTACTCTTCTAAAGAAAAAAAACCACAAGACCCATAATAGGAGAAAATTGTAAATCATGTCTGATATACATCCAGAATATATAAATAACTATCAAAACTCACTAATAAGAAGACAAATAATCTATAAAAATTTGAGAAAAGCATTTGAATATATCCAGGAATAATAATAAGCACATGAAAACACACTCAACATCATTAATCATTAGGAAAATAAAAACTAAAACCACCATGAGATACCACTACACAAGCACTAGGATGGCTGTAATAACACAAAAAGTATATGTTTGTGAGAATGTGAAGAAACTGGAACCTGCATATATTGCTGGCAGGACTGTAAAATGGGCAGCCACTTTGGGAAAGTTTAGCAGTTCTTAAAAAGTGTAACACAAACTACCATACTACCCAACCATTCCACTCCTAGGGATCTATCTACCCAAGAAAAATGAAAACATAGGTCCACTCAGTGATCTATGTATGCACACGTTCATAGGAGCATTATTCATAAAAGTGAAAAGGTGGAAACAATCCAAGTGCCTATCAATTGGTGAATGAATAAAATATAATATATATACCCAATGGACTACTATTCAGCAATAAAAAGGAAGAAACTACTGAATATGCTACAAATTGGATGAAACCAAAAACATTATGCTAAGTGAAAAAAACAAGTTTCCATTTTGTATGACTCCATTTATGTGAAATATCCAAAACAGGCAAACTGCAGATAACAAGCAGACGAACAGTTGTCTACAATTGGCAGTGGGAGCACAGATTAGCTGCAAACAAGCACAATGGAACTATTGATGTGATAGGAATGTTCTGAAACTAGACTGCAGTGATGACTACTCAATAAATTTATTAAAAATAATTAAACTCCCAGGAAATTATTTAATTGAAACTCTTACTGAAAACTAAAATTACACAGCAACAAAACAGATTAAGATTTGAAGATAGTATTATAATCAACTTAATGTTAATTATGCTATGACTTAATGATCATAAATAATGTTTCAGGTTAATGACACAAAGAAAAAATTCAGTAACTGTAATTTTGAGTAAACAACACCAGCATTAGAAATATGAGAACATGTAAGGCACCATCAAAAACCTTGACTATGTGGTCTAGTAGAGTACAATGACAGCAAGACCTAATAATGTATTTATAAACTCTTAAACCAATAAAGTCTGTTCAATTTCAATAATTCTGAATAGTGGTCAATGATATATATTTTTTAAAATATATCTTTACTGATTTCAGAGAGAGGAAAGAAGAGGGAGATAAAGAGAGATAGAAACATCAATGATGAGAGAGTCATTGATCGGCCGCCCCCTGCATGCCCCGACTGGGGATCGAGCCCACAACCCGGGCATGTGCCCTGACCGGGAATTGAACCCCAATCACCTGGATCCCAGGTCGATGCTCAACCGCTGAGCAACATCCGGCCAGGCGATTTTTTTTTTAAATCAATCTTTCCTGGTACTGGTTCTGTTGGTATTTTAGATGCCCCTTCCCCCCGCCAAACTGAACCTTTGTGTGACTTAGAAGTGCTAGATACACACAGGAATGCCAGGAAAGGCAAGCATATTTGATTAAGAAAAACAAAGGTAAGATATTTTATTTTACTACCTCTTATTCCTTTAGAATGAAGAAACACAGTGGATGATTAAAAACAGTATTTACCATAATATTTACCAGAACTGAATTTACAAATGAGAGAGAACCAGGACACCAAATATGTGATAAGAGGATAATTTAAGAACAGTGTATTTTATTTTGCCAAAGAAGAGTCAATTCCTTATTTTGTTAGTGTCAATAATTTATAAAATAATAAAGTAAATATTAAGTGCTTTGGTTTCAAAAGGTTCTTCCCTACAAGGTAATGAAAATATCTTCCTGAAGTAACTAGTAAAAGTTATTAGATACCTTTGGATATAAATGCAAACGCTTACATTACCTCAGTAACAAAGAAATGAAAGAAATGTTTTACTGTTGCTAATTATATTACCTTCAGGAGCAATTGCAGAAGGACAAACTTCTTTGAGGAGATCTCCTAATGTGTGCAACTGTCCATCTGTAGCCACAGGACGAAAAAGCTTCTGAATGAAAGGTCGTTCAGTTGTCGTCTATTTGAAAAATGAAGAAAGAATTCAAACAATTAAGTCTCTGTTGCTACAAATTACAAGTTAATAGATCAGAAATGTAAAGCTGGCATTAGATACCTTTGGATATAGTACAATCAGAAGCCATACATCACAAATGTGGTATTATTGTCCAGAATGCTTAACATAAAGTCAAGTAAACCTAGTAATGAGAAAACAATCAGACAAACCCAGGATGTGCAACACTCTAAAAACTGGCCTGGACTCTTCAAAAAAGTTTTCAAAGGCAATAAAAAATAAAACAAAACAATACAAAAACATTAAAAGAGCTTGACAAGATATAACAATTAAATACAAAAAATAAACCTTGATTGGAGAAGAACATTTTAAAAATCAGCTATAAAAGACATTTTTGAAATAACTTGGGAAATGAGGAATAAGCATTAGATAATTTTATTGAATTAATGTCAAATTTCTTAGGTGTGATAATGGGGAGGGAAGGGAAGAGAAGGGGAAGGAAATGTAGAAAAATGTTCACTACTGGTGAGTCCAGATGAAGGGTATATATATGGTCTTAGCTGTTCTATTATTTTAACTTCCCTCTATGTTTAAAAGTTTTCAAAATAGCAGATACAGCATTTCTACTGACAAGTGTTTATTAGCACTACGTCATAACTTATTGCTAATAATTTCAATGCTTTATCCACTTTTAAAATTAAGTTTCATTTTCCTAAACTACCTCTACAGGAGCATGTCAGTGATGATGGAAACCTCATCACGACACAGAATGCAGAAGCTCTACAATCAGCCAGTCTACGAAGAGAAGTATTGTTTATGAGCTCTGTGATCTTGCATCCAGTTTCTTAGAAAACTTGGGAAATTCTCTATTTCTTAAGTTTGTTGTGGGAATAATTAAAGAACTGTGCTGAGCACAGAGCAATGTTTTATATTTTATAAGAAAATCGACTCAATTATCTAGCCATTAAAGATAATTTTGCTTTGTTTTGTTTTCTTTTAGCACAGAAGTATACCTCAATTTCTTTGACATAACTGTTACAGATTTGGTTTTAAGTGCAGACACAGACTAAACTGTAAGAAAAAAGAGACATGGTGCAAGCATGTGAGCTACCTTTCCCAACTTTACATTGTGCATTCAGTGGGTATATAATGTTGAAAATAATAGTCCAATAATACATTGAGTGTTTGTGGCAAGTATGAAAGAAAATTTAGAAAACAAAAACCTTGATAATTAATATGCATCAAATATAATACAATTCACTGCAATATTTTAACTCCACTTCTTTAAAAGTATGATTGATATTCTTCAATTTAGGAAACTCATGCTTTTCACACTAGATGAAACTGAGAATAGTATTGTGCAAAATCAAGGATTAACTATGTGAAGATAATAAAGGTTAGGGGCCTTCAGAGAAGAAATAAATGAATAGGGGACTGAAGTAATCATTTAAAATAGCCACCACCCACTTAGGGCTTTCTATGATCCAAGCAATGAAGAGGCTTTTAAGACTTTTTAGCAAAGGAAGTGACATGATGAAAGAGGCTTTTTCTGAAGACTAATGGAAAGCAGCACTGTGTACAATGACTTGGTTAAGAGGTAACATCAGGATGACCGGTGAGAGGCTGTTTGAATAGAGCAAGCCTATGTGATGACAACTGGGACTGGGTAGGTGGAAAAGGAGGGGCAGAACTGTACCCCCAGTTTAAAAAAAAAAAAAGCTAAAATGTATCATCCATAGTCTGATCTGAAAATAATCAGGTTTTAAGCAAAGTCAAAGAAATATTTTCAAGATTCAATCGCCCCCCTACTCAGTGACAAAACTGTGAAATGGTTTAGCTATAATAATGTAATATGTAATAACAATAACATTAAATTTACAATAAAACAATATGCCAAACAGAAAAGGCCAACTAGTCTTAGCTACATTATTAAAATGTAGAAATTCTCCATCCCCGGTCCTAGAAAAACAGCCTATAGTTTCTGTGTACTTCTTTTTCTATTCTCCCCCAAATCTGGGTGATTATAAAAAAAGGTATAAAAATCTTTATAATGAAGTTATTTACTTAAGGGCAGCAGGGAAGCCCCAGCACTATTAACATATTCTGAGTAAATTCTGTAGAATGGTAACCAAGAAAACTCCTATGAAAGTAAAGTGCTGTTTATCATATAACAAAAACATTATTTTTAAAAACGAAGATCCAGCCCTGGCACGTGTGTCTCAGTTGGTTGAGCACTGTTCCATGCACCGAAAGGTCGCCAGTTCAATTCTCAGTCAGGGCACATGACCAGGTTGCAGGTTTGGTCCTGTCGAGATGTGTGCGAAAGACAACCTATTGATGTTTCTCTCTCACATCGATGTTTCTCTCTTTCTCCCCACCCCCCAAAAATCAATAAAAACATATATTTTAAAAAATAAATAAAAGATGAAGAGTCAAATACCCCAATCAAAAATCTAATAAACATTTTGTTTAATACTGATTAATGTGCCTTTAAAAACTTATATATTCTTATCCTTAAAAATTTGTTAGAAAAGAGCAATTAAGTGTCTGAGTAAGTCACACCAAATATGGAAAATACTCAATTTCAGGAGTTACTCTTAAAACAAAAGCCCTCCACAGACAGATCATACATTCGAGTATAGAGGTTCTGAAAGGCAATGGGAATGGAGGATAAATTCATACAAATTTCTTAACAAATCTCATTAAACCTAAATTGGAGCTAGCAGAGAAGACTAAATGATGTTAGGGAATATTTAAAAGCTATCTTCCTTTTGAATATAGCAAGAATTTTAGAAATACAAAAAGAACATACATTCTTTAAACTCTGATTTAGGATACATGAAAGCAGACAATGCTAACATCCACTGTAATACAAATCTTAGTCTGACAGACAAGAAAGACACTGTAACAGGAATATAGCCAATACTTACTTAATCTAGCCATTTATTTGTAAATATGCAAACTATTTCAGTGACTCCAAGAAACAGTATTACTCTCTCATGAGAAATAATATGACTTGGTAAAGTCATTTTTGAAACTGCCCGTTACATTTGGAATAAAAAACAGGTACTCCCGGCTGGCTGCTCCCTATCTCTCCCTTAGTCATGCACCCTCACCAATGAAATAACAACTTCTCCCTATATGCAAAAGTTATGTTGTTGATACTGGAAATATACTGAACCAAATTTGTAAAAAATATATTTACCAAATTTGGGGGAAAAAATTTTTTTTAAATTCTCACCCGAGGATATGTTTTTATTGATTTCAGAGAGAAGGGAAAGAAACAGTGATGTGAGAGAGAAACATTGATCAGCCGCCTCCCATACTCTTCCCGATCAGGGATTGAATCCACAACCTAGGTATGTGCCCTGACTGCGACTCGAACCCACAATGTTTTTGTGCCCAGGACAATGCTCCAACCAACTGAGCCACCCAGACAGGGGGAAATTTGTAAAAATGTTAGTTAAATATGTAGTGTTCAGTAACCCTACACTATAGCTAAAGAAGATGCCACCAATGGGGTAAAAGATGAAGGGTACATAGATCTTTGTGTTATTTGTTACAACTGAATGCGCAGATTGTAAGTTAATTCATGCAATGCATTTAGAACAATGCCTAGCATGTAGTAAATGCTCAATAAGTGTTGTTGCTGTTCTTTTAAATGTGACTTGACACAAAAAATACTAATATGTGTTATGTATTGAGTTGTAATATAAAATACGGTTTTAAGAAGATATACTCATCTTCTAGTCACATGTCACTACATAATATCAGTGTTAATTTTGTTTTCTTAGTCATATATATTGTATCAACACATAGTATGAATTAGAAATGTGGTTTTTGTTAAAAATGACAAAATACAGCTAGAAGGGTACGTATCTGGCTCTCTGACCAAGGAGTCGATGATCATAAAGAGAAGGAAGAATCACGTCAGATAGTAAAGGGAGACTCTATTCACTGAAACAAAGTGATTAAAAGTTATGAAAGATAAAAACATATATTAGAAAGAATACAACCTAAAAGATGCCCAGTAGATGCCTGATGATTCACTGGATTAAAAGGTGGGGGCAGGTTGTGTGTGTCTATGTGAGGCGGTGGTAGTGGTGGTACTGGTGCTGTCTCCTACTGACACAGCAGGCAAAACCTGATGATAAGGGGCCCAGTTTGTTAAAACAGCTTGCACAGAATCATCCTAGGTTCAGGAACTACAACCAATGACCTAATCACTATATACTGAATCCCTAATATCCTTTACACTTCAGTGAGTCTTAGATGGGACTGAAGAAACAAATGTTGCATTGATACTTTATATATGCTGAATTTTTCCAGGTGTATCAACAAGTATTGATATCATCAGCTACTCTGTATGTATGCTTTGCTTTTTAAGTCCTCTGAAATAGTCAGGATGATTTACTACATTTATAAATAAAATTTACTTAATTCACAAGAGTTGCTTAAGTATATCAAAGGATTCACTTGTTAGATTTGTGGGTGTTTTTTAAAAAATCAGTATACTGAACTATAACTGGAATTATCAATGTCTATTAAACAATAAAGAATGTAATTAGATTTATAAATTTATTTCATTACATAGGTGTACTATGTGTTGTAGAAGAATTAAATCTGGAAAAGGGATGAATTAAGAAATATCAATAAGTAAAAAGATTGCTCTCATTTTTATACAAAAATTACTATATTTGTAACTAGTATAAATTGAATTGAAAGGCATTAGAAAAACCTATATTTCACAATATACAAGTCTAACAAAGTGCAAATAGCTGTAAGTATGCTGTCTATGCACAAAAGCTACCTTCAATATTAAAGACACCAATTACGGGGGCTGCGAAAATCAGTGTATTTTCCCTTGACACAGTTTTAAAATAATGAACTAAATTTACTATATTTGAAAAACTTTACATAATAAGTAGTAAAAGCTTCATTAATACCAAAATGGTGACAATGATGAATACCAATAAAACCTTTCTTATAGATCCTTAGAGTTCAAG